CATCTAGGGTCTTTGAGACCCTAGACCTCCACTCCAGAAGCCGTGCGTCTATAAAACGCCCTGTTCCAAGTGAGACAACTTGCATCACTGGAACAAAGACTGTAGGTGCTTGTTAATTTACGTTACAGTGGACCATCAGTTCCTTGGCAGTGCTACCACAGGCCTGCTCATAATTTGTACACATTCATAAATTGTATACATTGGAAGCATAAAATCTGTTAAAAGAGACTTTTTCTTCTTTCCTTGAATTCAAACCCTTGTCTTAATTTAGCATTTACTAACTGCTGGCAATTTGCCCCGGTAAAGGAAGGACAAGACATCCACAAGGAGAGTCTTAATTTAAGAGATTTTAAAGTTGGGGTAGCTGCTTGCTTTACATGACGGGTTGCTACACTGACCTGAGGTGACCAATCCCTCCGAGCCCTGTGTTCTTACTACTACTCACTTGCACGTCGTGGTTTTCAGCAGTGAGCCAGGAGGTTCTGAAAGTGTACGGTCTTATAATGGAAAAAGGATTAGACTATCTGGAGTGCAATTGTGAAACTCGGTCATAACTTAATTAGAAAACACTTTCTGGAATCAAATACCAAATTCTGTTGTTTAAATTGTGTGGTGTAGAACTTCAGAGATGAGAATGATTGGCGTGTACTGAACTAGAAGAACACTGGCGTGTGGCTGGGGAGCTGGCTGGGCTGTTAGGCACGCTTGCTGCTCTTGCGGAGGGCTTGAGTTCAGTTCCCAGGGCCTCTGTGAGGTTCTTACAACTGCCAGGAACTAGCTTGAGGGCACTCTCATGTCCCTGACCTCCAAGGAACTCAGTGCACATAGTCACATACAGATACATAATTTAAAATAATAAAAATAAGTCTTTGTTTAAAGAGAACACTGAAGTAGAATGGACTCCATAGATGTCTGGGTACATCTGTCTTCAGAGATGTGAATCCACGTCCATGCTGGTTTACAGAACAATGTCACATGTTTTTTTTAATTCTTTTTATTGATATTTATTGAGCTCTACATTTTTCTCTACTCCCCTCCCTGTCTCTCCCCTTCCCCCTTCAACCTTCCCCCGAGGTCCCCATGCTCCCAAATTACTCAGGAAATCTTGTCTTTTTCTATTTTCTGCTTCCCATGTAGATTATATCTATGTATGTCTCTGTTAGTGTCCTCATTGTTTGTCTAGGTTCTCTGGGATTGTGGTTTGTAGGCTGGCTTTCTTTGCTTTATATTTAAAAACCACCTATGAGTGAGTACATGTGATAATTGTCTTTCTGTGTCTGGGTTACCTCACTCAAAATAATGTTTTCTAGCTCCATCCATTTTCCTGCAAAATTCAAGATGTCATTATTTTTTCTATTGTATAGTACTCCATTGTGTAAATGTACCACATTTTTCTAATCCATTCTTCGATCCAGGGACATTTAGGTTGTTTCCAGGTTCTGGCTATGACAAACAAAGCTGCTATGAACATGGTTGAGCACATGTCCTTGTGGCACGATTGAGCATCCTTTGGATATATACCCAAAAGTGATATTATTGGGTCTTGAGGAAGGTTGTTTCCTAATTTTATGAGAAATCGCCATATTGATATCCAAAGGGACTGTACTAGCCTGCATTCCCACCAGCACTGCAGAAGTGTTCCCTTTTCCCCACAATCTCTCCAGCATAAGTTGTCATCGGTGTTTTTGATCTTGGCTGTTCTTATAGGTGGAAGATGGAATCTCAGAGTTGTTTTGATTTGCATTTCTCTGATGACTAAGGATGTTGAACATTTCCTTAAGTGTCTTTCAGCCATTTTAGATTACTCTGTTGAGAGATCTTTGTTTAGGTTTGTACTCCATTTTTTTTATTGGATTATGTGATCTTTTGGTGTCCAATTTTTTGAGTTCTTTGTATATTTTGGAGATCAGACCTCTGCCTGATATGGTGTTAGTGAAGATCTTTTCCCATTCTGTAGGCTGTCGTTTTGTCTTGTTGACCATGTCCTTTGCTTTACAGAAGCTTTTCAGTTTCAGGGGGTCCCATTTATTAATTGTTTCTCTCGGTGTCTGTACTGCTGGGGTTATATTTAGGAAGTGGTCCCCTGTGCCAATGTGTTCAAGTGTACTTCCCACTTTCTCTTCTATAAGGTTCAGTGTGGCTGGCTTTATGTTGAGGTCTTTGATCCATTTGGACTTGAGTTTTATGTATGGTGATAGATATGGGTCTATTTTCATTCTTCTACATGTTGATATCCAGTTATGCCAGCACCACTTGTTAAATATGCTTTCTTTTTTCCATTTGATATTTTTTGCTTCTTTATCAAAGATCAGGCGTTCGAAGATGTGTGGATTGATATTTGGGTCTTCTATTCGGTTCCATTGGTCCTCCTGTCTGTTCTTATGTTCCTGGGAGCATCTGTCTTCAGAGATGTGGGTCCCCGTCCATGCTGGGCTCACACAGCAGTGTTACATGTTAGTATAGTTCAGAGAGTTTTTAGCTTCCTTGTGCGTATGTCTTACCCCCACCATGATTTGAACAGAACCAAGCACGGAAGAACTGTGTAATTAATGGGGAAACTGCTATACGAATGGTGTGCAAATGTGCATTATAGCAGAGATGAAAAGCCGGGTCCGCTGGGTATTTAGGAGCCTGAGGCAGGAGAACCTTGAACTTGAGGCTAGCCTAACATATACAAGGGAAAGTTGGGACTGACAGAAAGACTCTTCCTTTAAAAAAAAATAAATAAAAAACAATAAAGCCAGGGAGGTGGTTTTGTGCTGCCCAGCGCAGCCCAGCGGGGCTGGTTTCCCATGGCCGGTGGTGCCCACCCCAGGGCGGCTGCTCGGCTTCAGCTGAGCATCCTCCCACAGCAGTGTTCCTCCCGGCGTATTTTTGGAGCTGTCTCCTGTGACTCATTCGCGGTATCCTCAGAACCTTTTTTTAGCTGAGAGTAAGTTTGATTTGGGGAAGCAGGAGTCACTTGGGGCCAGGTATGGTGAGTAAACTGGAGGATCGGTGCGAAATGCTACCCCAGCCTCCTGTTTCGGTGACTAAGCAGCGAGAGTGTTTTCTAGCTTTGACTCATAAACAACTAGGAGTTAGCTTCTTTAAAACAAGAAAAACCGAGCTTCAGCTTTCATCATTTTCAAACTAAGTCTTCATGCTCGTATAATGTGTCTGCTCCAGGACATTGGTTTCCCGAAGTTCAGGCTGGCTTTGCCTGGTTTTCAGGCACCCGAGCTGCCTGTCCTCACCCCCTGCTCCCCACCATGCAGCCTCACTTGAGGCAGGCAGAGCCTTCTCTTTCGTGGGGCTCAGACTGCTGAGATGCTTTCTCTGTCAGGACCAGTGTGGCCTGACTCCGTGGGAGTCTGCTCCCCGCATGCCTTGGACTTCATAGCAATCTGGAATCGTGTTTAACAGGGGTCTCTCTTCTTTGTTAAAACCTAACCCTACTCCCAGTGTAATCAGGAAGGACATGGTTTTAGGGGTTTTACATTATCTACAGGTAGGAAAGCTTGCTCAGCACCTATGCGGGAGTCAAAGAGATACAGATTTGGTTCTTCTCCCACCGTGTGCATTCAAGGAATTGAACTTATACCTCAGACTTGGAGCAAGTGCCCTTACACACTTACAGGGCCAGTTTCGGGTTTATTTTTAAACATCCATGGGGTAAAAGCTGACTGTGTGAATGAGTGTGTGGTACAGGGCAGCCTGTAGCCTTGATGACTGTGTGTGAGTGTGGAACAGGGCAGCCTGCAGCCCTGATGACCTCCGACTGTGTGAGTGTAGTACAGGGCAGCCTGTAGCCCTGATGACTGTGTGTGAGTGTGGTACAGGGCAGCCTGTAGCCCTGATGACTGTGTGTGAGTGTGGAACAGGGTAGCCTGTAGCCCTGATGACTGTGTGTGAGTGTGGTACAGGGCAGCCTGTAGCCCAGATGACTGTGTGTGAGTGTGGAACAGGGCAGCCTGTAGCCCTGACGACTGTGTGTGACTGTGGTACAGGGCAGCCTGTAGCCCTGATGACTGTGTGTGAGTGTGGAACAGGGCAGCCTGTAGCCCTGACGACTGTGTGTGACTGTGGAACAGGGCAGCCTGTAGCCCTGACGACATCCGACTGTGTGAGTGTGGAACAGGGCAGCCCGTAGCCTTGATGACTGTGTGTGAGTGTGGAACAGGGCAGCCTGTAGCCCTGATGATGTCTGACTGTGTGAGTGTGGTACAGAACAGCCTGTAGCCCTGATGATGTCTGACTGTGTTTTTCAGATGACCCATAGCTTCCTGTTTCAACAAACAGACAAATATAGTTAGGCACCGGAGTGCTGTAGGTCCTTTTATATAGCAGAACAGGTGATCTTTCCTGAGGTCACAATGAAAAGCAATAAGGACTGTGCTGCTGTCCCCTAAAGCCAACATGGCCAGACTGTAGTGTACCCGGTAAAATCTCATCGCCTGTTCATTCTCAAGTTGGTCACACCCAGAGCAGAACTTACACAGTGCAGTTTGAACCAGCTTTTTGTTTGTTTGTTTGAATCACAATACTATTTTATTAAAACACCACTCGGGGTAAAAATATTCTAGATAATGTAACTCTGTTTAAGAGGTGACATTTTTGGCATTTGGTAAAATAAAGGGTAAAACTTGACTGAGCCTGTGTCTGGTCTGCCCCGATTCTTGTCCTGTTGGTGTTGGCTTTCCCCAGCACCCATCACCCCAACAGCTGCTGTTGACAACGGCACATTGGTCTCTGGGTCTTTTCAAACGGTTTCTTCATCTTCCTTTCTATCGTTCAGTCCTCTATAACAGTGCAGGCATTGGTCGCTCTGCTGTGGATTACTTGAGGTTTCTGCAAGGTGTAGCTTGTGGCTTCTTCAGGGAAATAATTCATACTTTCATTGTTGACCATGCTTCTAAGGTGGTATAATGAATTTTCTGAAATATCTATTTTAAAACTCATTAGACTTCTAATATATTTTAGATTATTTTACAGTATTAATTTCTTTTTTCTGCATTTAGTTAAAAAATCTAAGTTTAGAAGAACTACAGATGCGTCTAAAAGCACTGGATCCCATGATGGAACGGGAGATAGAAGAGCTGCATCAGAGATACAGTGCAAAGAGGCAGCCCATCCTGGATGCCATGGATGCGAAGAAGAGGAGACAGCAGAATTTCTAACGACTCCCTCTGCCCAGCATGACCAGAGACCAAGCCACCACAGAAGGGAAGGGATTGCACTACTTTTTAATCCCTAAAATGTATGTTCTACAATTTTGCAAAAGTCAAAAACTAATGATGGTACACCTAGATAAATTCCAAAGGCAAACTGTGCAGTTGTATCCACTCTGACTTCATTTTGAAAGGCTGAGAACGATAGAAATGTGCTCTTTCTGCCAGCTGTTCCACAGCAACCAAACCAACCAAATTTAAAGCTATATTTGGAGACTTTGGAAATCCAAAACTGTTGCTTAATCGCACAGTACTGGAGGGCTTTATGTTACAATCCTCTTTATTCCTGTGGAGAAGCCTATTTATTGTACCCCTTAGGTAGACTTATTTATTTACGCAGTTTTACTTTTTGTTTTTTAAAGACAAGATCAGGATAGTTTTGGTGGATGTCCGGACACACTGACAGATACAAACACACAACTAAATTGTACAAAAGCAGGGAGCTCTGGGTGCGTTCCTTCATCTCCAGTAAAAACAAAGCAGCAAGAGCAATAATGTCCAAATGGACAAGACATTTTTATATTGAAGAATAATTTCATTTCTCCCTTCTTAAATATTAATTCTTGGCTTTAATATTGGTATAAATAAGGCTATATATGTGTGTGTGTATATATATATGTGTGTGTGTGTGTGTCATACAGAATTGTACCCTGTAAAACCAAAGAAATCAATGAATCCTTGCACACACACACACACACACAAACACACACATACAGAGGTGTGGGAAATACTTACAAAGAAATGAAACCCAAGAAAGCAATACAGTTGTTTCCTGTATTGGTCCACAGTAATCTCATCAGATTATTCTGTGAAAATATGCTTTTGTCACAGGACTTTTTGTTGATTTCATTTATTTCCTGGAATTGATGAGCATCATGTATCTGACAATAACAAAACAGTAAAAATGTTTGTACTAAACTGTGTCCTTGGGACCTGGGGGAAAAAGCAGACTTAAGCTAGGAGACTCGTTTCTGAGTGGAGTTAGCATTTGTGTAATTGAACAGGGACCAGTCCTTCTCTGCACTACCCATGGCCATTTCAAGTGTGTGTTGTTTTATGTATTAATTATGTGTGTACATCATGAAGACAAATAAATTCCACGGTGCCACCTGGCACACTTTTTTTTTCTTTTTTTCTTTTTTAAGCTCATGGCCTGGACTCCGTTAGGCAGGTCAGGTTGCATGGCTGATTAGGGGTGACCCTGAAACTTCAGCAAAACTACATAAAGATGTAGCTCAGGTTATTCCTCTCAGACCCAAGACCCACCGTTCACTGGCAGGGCGCTCCAGCCCCCACAAACACAATGGTTACAGGTGTGCTTGCCACAGGGGAAGGAGCCCTGGCAAACATCACACTCACGCCACAGCAACAGCTCCAGTGAGTGCAGGAGGTGTCCCCAACACTGACCACAGAGGGCAGGTCACCTCAGAAAGCTTCCACACATTTTTAAGCGTCATTGTGCTCAAGATTTTGCCTTAAAGTGACAATTGTTTTTGTTCTGTTGGATCCTTATACATAGTATATTGCATGTGAATTATAAAACTGAAAATAAGATGGCTAAAACTAACAAGACGTCCTGTGTTCACCCCAGTTTATATAATGCGTAGCAAGGCATGCTTTCACTGATCCCGCTCCTCGTTGTAGGCGACCACTTGGGACAGTCAGCCATGTTCATCAGCTCAGACTGTATCCAGGTTCCCTTTCTTAATGGTCTCTCCTGTCACCCACTGAACCCTGATGGCATCGAAAGACTAACTTCCACCATCCAAGCAAAAACACCTACTTGAGATGACAGAAACTAACAAAGACGATTTCTGCCCACCTGACTAAATGAGGCTCTTAGCCACTTGTACTTCCTGAGATACCTGAGTCAGGACAAGGGCTCCCTTTCTGTAATGCCTTGGTCTGATTGCTTGATAATACTTTTACGCCATGTTACTATATCTGCATCTGTTTACACAAACACACACATACACGCACGTTTTGTTTTGCTTTGCTTTGAGACAAGGTTTCTCTACATATCCCTGATTGACCTGGAACTCGCTCTGTAGACCAGAATCATCTTGCGCTCACAGAGAGATCCACCTGCCTCTGCTTCCCCAGGGCTGGGACCAAAGGTGTGCGCAGCACGCATGGCTCATACACATTTTAAGAATCAAGAGCAATGAATATCATTTTACTCTGGAGCTGTGTTAAATGACTCAGAACATTTGAGCATAATCTATCCTAAAGTTTCCCTGTCTTCTCCCTCCCTGGCCCTCGCCTCCCCGTCCTGCAGCAAACGCAGTTTTGCACAATCATGAGCCATGAGAGAGACCTTTAAATCTGGTTGAGCCCAATGAATCACAGCGCCCAGGAAAAGAAATTACCTAGCTATTTCTGAGTTTAAGAAGAAACCTTTTATTCGGCCCTCCCTGCTGAGAACTTCCAAAAATAAGTAAGCATCCTGTCTGCACAGCCACCCTTTAGCAGGCACTGCACGTGAGTAGCGCTAATGAGCCCCATCCCAGGAGAAGCTGGCTTTGTCCTGTACGGTGAGCAGAGCGCCCTGTGCTTGATTTAATGAACCGAGATGCTGCACAGTTACAGCGATCGCAGCCTATGTCAACATGAACAGGTCTGTGTTCAGAATATGGGCGATAGCTGTAACTCATGGAAACAGGAGAAGAAAAGAGACTTAGTGGGTTTCAGAAGCACGACACCTGTCAGTTGGGACCCTTACAGTGTTTGACGCTGTGCTGGACAGTGTCACCTGTATGGTTTTGTATCTCTTCTGCTCATTTACCAAATCACATCCCAGGGTTTGAAGCCATGTCAGGTGTGCCACTTCTCAACAAACATTATATAATACGTTAGTGGGATGTTTTTAACTTAGTCACAGGAAATCTTCCCAAATTACTGACACATTTATATTCAATAGAAATGCTATTTTTGTTTCTTTCCCATTTTAACATTAAAGATTAATGATTAAAATCTAAAAATACTGCTATTCTAAATAGAATTCTTTAACTACTTGGAATTGCTGAACCGTCTCCATTAGGCATAGGCACTTAATTAGATATTTCATTAGAATGCTCCTTTTTTGGCACAGGAGACAAGAAAATGGGTCCACTGAGTATTGTGTTTCTTTGCCCTTTGATGTGATGGAACCTGGACCCAAGGGACTCATATATCCTAGCTGGAGACTCTGGTGTGTCTAAGGTGTCTTAGGCCCCCAAGGACTGATCCATCCGCGTTCCCTTTTTTCACACCAACACTTGACTTCAGCCCTCCCTTTCCTGGTTGTTTTCTTCATCGCAAAGACTAAAGAAAAGCCACGGGACCAACTCATTTCTTCCCTCGGCCTTGAAAAGACATTGCTGTTTGTTTTCCTCTCACGTGGGCCATGTCACACAACCCTGCTCCCCACCACTCCCCTGGCCACTCGATTAAACTCCCCAAGTCTCTGCTCACAGAATAATGACCACCAAGTGGACAGAGCGTGGCTTCCTGGTATTCCGGAACAGCATGACTCAGCTGACGTCTGTGACCTCATCTTTCTTTATGGCTTTCTTACCATAATTATTTCCTTCGCCTTCGCTTTAGGTTGTAAAGCTTTTCAAAGCAGAGGCATTTATTGACCCTGTGTCCCCATGGTGCTTCTCAGTGTGCTGGGTGAGAAGGGCTGGGTGTTAGATGCAACGGGTTGTCTCTACAGGAACCAGATGTCAGCCATGTTCGAGCTCTATTGAGACCTGTCCTGATGGATTAGCTCAGCGCTTCACAACAAGGTGTATATTGAAAACGCAAAGGAAGACTGGAAGAAATGTGGAGAGATTCAGCGAAGTCATGACTGATTAATACCAGTGTGGCCTCTTAAGTTTCCATGGTCACCTCCAAGCTGCCTTCTCACCGGACCACCCCTTGTACCTGGCTCTAGAGTGTTGATGCTGTCACCAAGTCTTAAAACTTAGGATCGGTGTGAGCTGATCATTAACTTTTTGCCTTTCAGTGGACTCTACATTTTCTAAAATGGCATCCTTTCTCTATGGGGAGTGGGATTGTGGGTACCAGGCCTCACAGATGTGCTACAAAGAAGACATCTTTCAGTTACTGGGATGGAGCTTGAGTCTGTTTCCTTGCTTGCTGTGCTGTTTTGCATGCTGCAGTGTCCCCCTTGCCAGCTTTCCTTCGGCAGCACTTTGGAGAAGCATTAAAGTAGTAAAACGAACTTTTGTATCTTAGCTGGGGACTCTGGTGTTGTTGGGAGCAGTGAGACCCCAGATCCTGAATTTCTTGTAATCCCCTGATCTGAGTGCCTACAGCTGCTCTGAGCACGAGACCTTCAGGAGTTCCTGATGGCAGGAGAGTGGTTTCTGGTGGGTTTGGCTGGGGTGTGGCTATCTCTATATAATCTGCCCCTGAACACAATAAAGGGGCCATTCTTGGGGAATTCAAGGATGACCCGTGTCGCTCGCTGTTTCTCTCTCTCTCTGTGTGTGTGTCTGTGTATTTTAACCCCCAGCCCCCTTGCCCGAAGCTCGGGAACTGAGTGCCAGGGCACAGAGCGCAGACATGGGGGTGCAGCTCGCGGCATGGTGTGTCTAAGGGTGACTTGGGCCCCAAGGACTGAGTCCAGTTTCCCTTTTTCCACGTCCACACAGACACTTGACTTCATCCATCCCTTCCTGGTATGAGACGTTAAATGCTCTGGGTTCGAATCCCAGTTCTCCCTTTGTTTTCCTAGGCAAAAGCAGCCACTCCACCACTTAGTGTTCAAATGCATTTGTAGCCGGAGAGAAGGCTCGGTGGCTAAGGGCATGTGCTGCTCTTCCAGAGGACCCAGGTTCAATTCCCAGCATCCACGTGGTGGTTAACTCCACGTGGTAGTCTAATTCCAATCAACAGTAGCCAAAACCTCCGAGAGCTTCCATGGCCTCCGTGAGCACTAAACACTTGTGGTGTACACACATGCGGGCAAAACATCTGTGCACATAAAATAAAAATCTCAAAAAGAAATCAGTTTGTAATAGTGCAACTATTTCAGTGAGCAAATCTTCCAGTGCCTGTAAAATGTTTAGCAAAGTCCCTGGCATAATATAAATGGATATTAGCTTAGAGTCAACTTCCAACCTTTTTCGGGTTCATTTTCATGCCTCATTTTGCAGGAACAAAAAGCGGAGTCTGTTCATTGAAAACCAAATGTGTTGTTTTCCAAGATGAATTTGACTCTTCTAGAACGCAAGAAAGCCTTCCCTGGCTGGGCGGTGGTTGTGCACACCTTTAATCCCAGCACTCGGGAGGCAGAGGCAGGTGGATCTCTGTGAGTTCGAGGCCAGCCTGGTCTACAAGAGCTAGTTCCAGGACAGGAACCAAAAAGCTACAGAGAAACCCTGTCTCGAAAAATCAAAAAAAGAAAAAAAAAAGTTTCAAAAGCCTTCCCTGAAGAGCTGACTCTTCTCCTGGGTACAAGTTTATATGAGAAAAAGCTGTGAGCCGTTGTCTCTGCTAAGCTTACAGCCCATACGCTCTAGAACTAGTTTTCTGTTGCAGGGATTATTGCTGAGGCAGCTTCAGCAACCCGGGAGGTAGTTGTGAAGACCTATCTGGAAAGTTCTCAGCTGTGCCCCCTAAAAGTCTTGGCATCCTTAGGTCCTTGCAGAGATAACACATGTAATTGATTGGCTCTCAGTTTACTTCAGCTCTAGGAAGCTCAAGAGCAGCTTTATATCTTGAGGGCCTGATAGGATCCTATGATCTGCATGGCTACATTTCCCTGGTTATTTTTATGGAATATTTATGAAAACAAAAAAATACTTTTTAAGAGAAATATCTGGAAGTATGGGCTTTTTTGTACTTAGAAGGATTTGGTTATATAGTGTGTGTAATCTTCATATTTTTATAGAATTCTTGAGAGCATCAAATACAGTATTTGGTGATTTGTCCAGGTCCTGGACCTGAAACATTGCTGGTTCTTTGTGTGAGCGCACGGCATCTGGCAAAGGAAAAGGCTAGGGTATGAGATACCAGAGATAGGTAACTTCTGGGTTTCCTTTTCTGGAAGGAACATCATAGTCCCCTTGGTCCTCACACCTCTCGTCCTTGTCACCTGCCCACATCACAATTATACAAGA